TATTTAGGCAACTTTTTACTTTGCGGCAAAGAACTCTGGGTGAAGCAAGAAATGTTTGTAACCCAAGAGACACATTCCAGGGTTTGTTTTAGATTTGTTTTCTGTTTCCCTATTTTGCTAGTTAAGATAAATGCCATCCAAGCAGCAATTCAGCTTTCCTTATTTAGTCAGGCAGAGAAAGATTTGGCCCAAATAAGAACTGTGCAAACATTACATGTGAATGTTCAGACTGAGTTCCGTAACACTGTGCTCCAATTAACATCAAACTGGGTTTCGACACAGCTCAATGTATTCTAAAACAAGTTAAAAGAAGCACGCACACAGAAAGACGCATGTGCCAGTTCGACAGGAAAAGGCGAGCACCTGGCACTTCCTTGGGCACCTTGTTGCAAAACCAGGTGGAGCCGGAGGGGCTCGGATATGGGATTTCTTCCTGTCCCAGAGCCCACACTGCCTTTACTGCCACTGCGCTGCCTTTGCCGGATCCGTCCATTCCGCTGAAGCAGCGGTGCTGCTTCGCAAGTCTGAGTGCTGTGTCCCGAACGGGCAATGCCACGGGCTTCTCGGGAGGGGGGTGCGGGGTGTGACCAGGACTGGGACCACCGAGGACGTGGACCACCAAGCGGTGGTGTGCAGGCTGCTGCAGCAACGTGACAGCCCACCCGGTCTTAACAAGTTTGAATCGAGTTGTAAAAAGGCTGCTGAGTTTCACCTAAAGGAAAACACAATATTTTCCAGTTGTAAGAAAGAAATAGCCCAGATTGTGCGGTTATCTCCCATCCGGACTGTGCCCCTTGCATAAATCTATGCATCGGTATGTAAGGCCACATCAAAAAAGTAGGTTTGTGAGGCTGCAGAGATGTCCATCACCTGCTGTGCATTCAGCATGCCAACAGAAACTCAGCTTGATGAATTTGAAAATATATTAAAATACTAAAATCCAAGCAAGGGGGCTGGGAAGTCACTATCTAGAAGGAAACTGTGTACCAAATTAAAACTCCCAAAAGAAAGAAAAAGAAAATAACTGACAAATAAAATTTTGAATTCTTAGACTACACATTTTCCGAACCATCACGCAGTACGACTTGGCTACCAAAGCAATTAATGCATATTTGTTTTCAAGCAAATAGAAACCAGTGCAAAGATTAATTCAGACCATGAATTCAGTCATGAAGTCCATGATTTTTTCCCCATGGCAGAATTAAATCTATTTACACCACACATTTCATAAACTCGCTCATTTGAAGCCTGCTACTGTGAACATACTTTTGTGGTGTACACACTTTTTAACAAAGTGGGACTTACTCCCGAGTAATCATGCACAGGATCAGACCCTGGGTGTTTGGAACTTTCCAAAGGCATGCGCTGGCTTCTACCTGGGCCTAGGTGTCAGGTGTTTCTGCAGGAGCTCGGCGGGAGGATCCCAGGAATGCGTGCTCTGAGGACGACCCATGCTGTGGCGGCCGAGCAGATTGAGGACACAAACAGGAGCACAATGGGACTCACTGAGGTCTAGCGAGGTGCAGAGTCGCCCTGCCCAGACGCGAGTACCGACAGCTCTTCTCCCACAGCCCAGCATGAAGCCCACAGTAATGAAGGCCTTAATCTGTAATTGTTTACCCTCAGAAATCTGTTTCCCCCGTCACAGTTTGCTTTTGTTGCTCTTAGAAACTGAAAATCAAGGCTCATTTTAACCCAGCATGTTCTTGTGAATAAATACAAGAATTTATATTAAAATTAGCTTTGGATCAATGCAATATTTATTTACTGTTTTCCAGCCACTTTCTTCCATGAAACAGCTGTATTAATTGTCTCTGCCTTCAATAGAAATAAACAAAACAGGGATTCAGTTCCTTGTGCTCTGTGATGATTCTATGTCTGTGTGCGCATGCAGACAGACAGACAGACAGACACACGCATTTTCACCACCACCATGTGCCACCACAATGTCGCTTGTTATGGGCAGAGCCACGGAGGTCCATCAGCATTTGGTTTGGTTTGTACAAAGCGAACAGCATGTCACAGAAAAAGATTCACAACCAACTAAGTGAAGCGCTTATTTTTGGAAAGACATCCTGGAAAGCCGTCCTGCTACTTTAAATGGATTACTGGCGATCGGAGACCAGCACAGGGGCAGAAAAGGAAAACATATGGATTTTGCCATCACGGAATCTCACATTTTTCTAGCTCATAGGAAAGCAAGTGCTAACAAGGCTGAAGCCTTAAAGGCATGCTTCCTTTTGGTTATATTGCTATAAATCAGAAATATGTTTGATGAAGCTGTGAAGTATTTCCTCCCAACTTACTGTACCAAAACTGAGAGCACAATCAATCCTATAAATTGGAGAGAAACCTGAAAGGCTCTTAAATGTTTTTCTTTTATATAACAGCCTAAGTTCAAAATGAAATAATGCATTTGCGCGCATGCAAAAAAGTTAAACGTGCAAAGCAGGCCTGTTTCATTGCTTCCCTGAGCGGGGGCCTCTCTCATGAATTGTCCTAAGCAAATCATGGGGGAAAGAGCGGTTTCTGTGGGAAAAGGCATCCAACTAGTTTACGAACAATCTGTCTGCTAAACGCAGTAGTCGGAATAGTACAACATGGCGCTCGAGTATCCTGCTGAAGCATATTTAAAGAAAAATAAACTGAGGCGTTTCACAGTTTCCTATATCTAGATAAGCCAGCCATTAAGGTTTTGTGGGGAAAAAAGCTCTCAAAATTAAAATCCCTTTAGTGTTCTATTTAGGGTTGCAATGATTAATTGATTAACTGGTTTTATTATTAAAGAACAGCTTTAAGCACACCTTTAAAAATGTTTAAAAAGCAGCAGGATGGACCATAAAATATTCCAAATCTATGCTGCAGTAATATTTTTATTAGGCCTCCTGCCAAGGGGAACAAGAGTAAATAAAGGTTATGGCCCCATCGGCATGCGGCCCGGGAGTCATCCGTACCGCTCACCTATCACAGAGCAACCTCCCATCAGGCCAGAGAGAGGCTGCATATCCAAAATGGCGACAGCAGGGACTCCTGGCAAAACATGGGTGAATTAATAATCCGTTAAGCCACAGCGTGCTGTTACCATGCACGAACCAGGTCCATGGCAGGTTTGCTGAAAATTAAAATTAAAGGTAATCTTTCCTCCATGTTTGTATCCAAAGGTAAGCATACTTTTCTCCGCAGCAATAAGCTCCTATGGATTTCCTTTTAAAAGAACCACAGCCAACTGCCAGTGTTCCAGTTAAGAGCCTATGATTACACTTTACGTCTAGGTCTTCCATATGCTGATGGGCCTTGAACTTGCCTGTCTTTAAACTACTTTTGGCTTCGAGATACCATAATTAGGAATACTGATCATTTGTTCCAACAATGAGCTTCTGGGTTCTCTCAGTTTCGAGATGATCTAAACATATCTCTTGAAATTTTGCAGTGCGCATAGTTATTTAAATTTAACTTAATAAAATCAATTAGTTAAAAACCAAACCAATAGAAGATTTTAAAGTTTTTATGCCACTGACACATGTTCAATATGTTAAATCTATTCCCAGAGAAATTGCCCAGAATTCATTGACATAGAGATCTCTTCAAAGGTTGGCCTAACTGCAAACCTATACGTGATTATTTGGAGTACTCTCCTGAATACAGTGGGACTTGCCTCTGCGTAAACGTGCATAAAATTGTGCTAAGAGAACAGAACTGTTCTGACAAGAGAGCTCTGCGCGAAGCTGCTATGGAGGCTAATGAGAAGCGAAGGTCCTTGCGAGCCGCTCCGGATCCATTCTGGAAGGGAGCCCTGGCCGCCAGTTTCGAGAGCTGAGCACGGCTGTCACTGGCAGGCCACCCTGGAGGGCTCTTATCCATAGGGTTGGCTCCAGCGGGATGACAAACACAACGCAGCCGCTGATGTTAAAGGGGTGATGCAGCACATGCGCAGAACCTCAAGGCTCCTCAGTGCACACCCTGACGGCCCCCCCATTCTGACCTGGATGAGGGGACCCAGGTGAAGGCCAAGAAGCTGTATTGGCCGGTTTGGGGTGTAGCTGCAACGATCAGTGACGTGGACTTTGCCGACTGGGAGATGCAGAGATCATCCCGACCCGCAAAGCCCTAGCAAGTGACGCACCAGTATTATTGCAGGAGACAGGCGCACATACATTCACAAAGCGCAACCTGCCTAGCTAAGGCCGGTTTCCAGGTCTCTGGATGGCTGCGTACTGGCAAAGGCGAGAAGCCAGAGCCGGGCCAGGAGGTGTCCGTGGGAAATGCTCTGGAAACCAAGTTGCCCGGACAAGACACTTCCAGTCCATGCAGCGTTGGCTCAGTGACCCCCACGATGCTCTCAACCGTGAAGCAAGGAGCCAGCCAACATGCGGCTGAGGCGTCACCTTTCTGGACTGCAGAAGCCCAGGAAGACGCACTCTTCCAGACACTTCGCAATCAATGGGAGGAAACCTGGCCTCCTCAGGGGATTCGAAAAGCAGGAGCCCGCATTCCAGCAAAGACATCGGGGAGGCTCCCCTTTGTGGTGATGCCCTGTTGGCCGCAGCCTTCACAGGACACCCGGAGATCTAGGTGGTCACTACTGGTGGCAAAAGCAATGCCGGTTCTAGCCTGCTCCATCAAGTTCTCCTCGGCAATACGACGTCGCAAACCCTAATCCTACACACCTGAGCCCTACGCACCTGAGTCAACAAGCACCCTCTTTTACTGTGCGCTGACAGAGAGACACGAGCACACGGACATGTGCAACTAATTCTGGGTTCAAAGCGACTTTGAAATGCGAGTGAAGAGCTCAGTCCCCGGCTCAGTCGCCTCCTCGCGGATATTTGTTTTCTTAACGCCAAGTCTGCTCCTCCCGCCCCCACGTAATGATTTCCTCGCGGCAGTCAGAAAGATTACCCACACCGCTGATCACTTTATTATCTCATAATGGCTGTTTGTTTGCTTTACTGCAGCAGAAACATACAGGGATAAAGGCTTTCACAGCTGGGGAAACTCACCGTACTCCTGACGGAGGTGGTCTGGAATGTGGGGCTCGTAGCCCTCCTTCTCCGGCACTTCCACGAACTCCTCCTCGTCGTCGCTGCTGTCATCATCGCCCACAGCCTTCCCCTTTGCAGAAGAGTGAGACACGAGGAGACCATGAAACGATGCGCTTGGTGGGCACGTAAGCACCCTGTACAGAAACATCCCGATCAAAGAATCCTTTCCGATATTTAGTACGCAAAGTCCTGCCATTTTATCTCTAACTTTAACCCCAACACGACATTTCGGGCCGCTCTTTGGCAGAACAAAAGCTTCTGAGAAGTGTATTTCACATATTTGAAACAAGGCAGCCCTGGCCTACCGACATAAAATCCAAAAAGATGTGACAGGCAGGGAAAAAAGGATTTGAGAGGGAAAATTATGGTAAACGAATAATCGATAAAGCACTGTTGCAACTACATTTTCAGCTCTATACCAGCCGTAAGGAAGAACCCTGCAGGGATGCCACGGGCAGGGCATTGCAAAGCTTGGACTCACGGAGTCACCATAAGTTGGGGATGGCTTGATGACACACAACACAACACCGCCACCACAACTGCAACACCACCGCCAGCATCTGGAAGAGGATGAGATCCCTGCTGCACACACAGACGCCAACGTTGGTGCGGCAGTTTCCCCGGGATCTGGGCTTTCCTCAACAAACAATGCCTCTTGAGCAAATCCAGAGCCCTTCTTCATCAAGTGGAGCTCTATGCCATTAGCTTGTGACAGCAGCCTTAGAGAAAGAATTACAAGCAATTTCTTTCCACACACCCTAATTACACCTTTCAAGTACTGAAGTGCTGGAATTACCAAGGCGTGAAGAATATGTACAAGAGGCACACTGTAAATAGGTAAAAGTGAAGTGGAAAAAAATGCACATTAAAGGTTAGCTGATTCATGCATTTTATGTCCGGCGGGTCTCTTTGTGAATTGCAATGTCCCTCAGCATAGCTAAATTCTAAAAACAAAACAAAAACCAGCTGTCATCACTACAGAAGCTGCACTGCACTATAGCGTAGTGCCCCTGAATCTGGGGGTTTTCTAAACACTCAGGCTGAGGAATTGTGCAGATTAAATCAGGCAGGCAGGCAGGCAGGCAGGCAGGCAGTTGTCTTATGACAGGTTGTCCAGAAACCTTTTGAAAGTTTCCTGCACTTTAAAGAGAGAAACAAACAAAAATCCCTTTCCTTTCCTTTCCTTTCCTTTCCTTTCCTTTCCTTTCCTTTCCTTTCCTTTCCTTTCCTTTCCTTTCCTTTCCTCATACAAGGAGATGCGTCCTCTCGTATGCTGTTAAGCTCTGAGATGAACACTCCTGTCAACTGCCGGCCTCGCGATTCCAGAAGGTGTGACTTTTGCTGCAGCAGAACCCTTTAATACCTTGTTCTAACCAGGTGGTGCAGCAGCACAATGGAGGTCCTGCTCCCGAGATGCACTGAAGGCGGGCGCACGGCGCACGGGGCCTGCGCACGCTCCTGAGCAACAACACGCAACCAATACAGAACGGCCCTCCTCATAAAAGCAGTCGTTTTAATTAATGATAAAAATCGATTTGGGGATGGCAGGCTTATCTCCGCTCTCAGCCAGGCCACGCAGAGGACGAGAGAGACGACATTCTTGTCCCTGCACGAGCCCAGCTGGAGCGGCAGCTCAAGCCCTTCCAGGCCAGGGGGGGGCTGCCCCGAGCGCCCGGCGGCAAGGCCACCCTGGACACTTCTGGACAGGCGCAGCGGGCGCACCACTGGTGGTCCTTCCCGGCCGATGTGCTGCACAACGCAACATATGCTGAAGCCACTCACAACTGCAGCTGCCAGAGAACGGCGCTGCTATGTTATGGATAAGTGGCTGCCATTTCCAGGCTCCTTTCTTTAAAAAAATACATAACATTCTTGCAATCAAAACTCTAAAACACACCATTAAAATTGGAGGTGGGTCAAAGCAACAAAACCGAAGCATTACAAATATTTTATTTGCGATGCACTGCTCCCAATCGGTCTCCGAGTCCTTTTCAATCCCTAATTCTTACCTTTAAGCCCCAATAAAGTTTGGCTCGGGGTACCAGAGGGATCACCAGATCCCACGTCCCATGGTGCTCTGGATCCCACCACCTGAAAATATGACTAGTGAGTATGCAGGGCTGGGCCCACTCAGTGGTGGGACCTCCGCTCTGGAATTCCCCCTCCACGACACCGGGAAGTTAGTTTTGAGGCAAGGTTTTAAAATGGTCCGATCCCCAGAGCCGGATGGCTGAAATGCTGCTTTTCTGTATTCTCAGAGCTTTAGCTAATTTTTCATGTGCAGTTTTGATTGTTATTATTTTTGTCTCATTTTCTGGGCTGCTTCAGGGACCACAAAGTGGCCCAGAAACGCCTGTATTAACAGCATGTGGGCAGGCAGAGGCAGCTCCGGGAAGTCCGCTCCAGCGTCCCAATACGCCCTTGCTCACCCCCGTGTGTCCTGCAGCTCACTTTTACCTCCATTCCGGAAGCAGCTCTGCTTCTGGGGATGCCCTTGCATTTTCAGCCGGAGTTATTCTACACCTCCAAAGCCACTTCAGAAGGCAAGCGGGGCACAACTGGGGCATTCCAGCCAATCGCAATTACAGAGCAACGACTGCCATTCCCTTCCCATCTAAGCTAAGAGCAAGTTCTGCCTGTAGCAGCTAACTCAGGAGCACACCTGGCCGAAGAAGCCTTGTTTCCCCTGGCAGGTGGTGGCCACCCGAGTCACACCAGCCACTGTGGAAGTAAGAGGCGGCCACCAAGGCTCCCTGACGCGGCCTCCGGCGCCCTCCGCTTCTGGGGACTGCCTGGCCCCTTTGCAGAGCGGCCCTGTGGGTCAGGCAGGGGCTGCAGAGCATCGCGGGCCCGGCCAGCAGGGCCCCCTTCTCAGCCCTGGGAAGGCCCCCTGGATCTGTGCTTCTCCAAGCATGGAAACAGCTAAGAAGGCGTGGGGTCAGCGACTAATGGGCCAGCCCTCCTCCTCCTCCTCTGGCCCAGGAGAACAGGGCAAGAGGCAGTGAGCTCCCCTCCCACATGCACACAACATTACAGTTCTGTACACCTGCTCTGCGTCCATACCCTTAAGAAGGAATGGAAAAAAATAGGCTGAGACAGGAAAAGGCCCACAATCCCCAGCCGGCGGTGGAGCACAAGCTGGAGCGCTCTGCAGGTGCCCGCAGCGCTGCTCCGTTGCCGTGCACGCCAGGATCCAAGACCACCCGGCCACGGCATCCCCGCCAACTCTCCTCCGTACTAGCATTCTTCCCATTGTCCCGGGGGAAGAGAATGCTGGGGACGTTTTATACCACAGCATTAATCCAGGTAACAGGAAAGGTGTGATGCAACACAGGCCTGAAAACGGTTTTCTCTACCTCTTCTCACAATATTTAACTTTCAGCTGACAATGACAGAAAGGCGATTCATCACCCACGGTAACATTATCCATGCTTCTCCTTGTTTGCCTAATCGCGAGAGCTGCAGGCAGAGCACCGGGCTTTTTCAGACCTAAAAAGGAAGCGCTTCTGCTAAGAGCCGATTTTACTTCAGAAAACTGAATGACGCCGGATGCGACTGGACAGAGGAGAATGTAATTTTATAGAGAACTGGCAGCACATTTTTGCACAGACTCTTCAAACGAAAAGCACAGCCTGCATAAGGATCACCAACAAGCAAAGAGTGACGGGATGCAAAGCCCTTCAACACGCATGGATTTTTAATAGCAACTGCTTAAAAAGCATGAAGGAATTTGATAGATCTCTTTAAGGTCACACACACAGTAACCCGACAGCAAACCTTGATAATGCAGTTTGACTTCTTTTAAAAGATTTGTCTGCTTTTATTTTGCGTGGACGCACAGAAAAGATTTCAAAAATATCACGAGGCAAAGAATTCCCAGTCAAAACAAACGCCTGCAGCACAAGAGTCTGATGCAAAACGGGGAGAAGAAAGCCCAGCACACTTGCAGGGGCTCAAACTTGGAGACTCGCACAACGCTTTGCTGGGAAGAGAAATAATAAGATGCAAATTCACTTTGTTTAGGCACAGTTCAAGAGCGGTGCATTTAGGCCCTATAGGAAACATTAATCATAGGAAACTGTAATTTTTGTTATCAGTCCAACACTAATCAAAAGGGAAACCTGTCACTAGCACTGACCTGTGAAACGTCCCAATTATACCCTTTGGAAATGACAGGAGCACTTAACTTCCTCACTGAGTAAATGACGACAATCAATCACGTTTGAATAACAATGAGCCACGGAGCTGAAAATTATTTTTTGTATAGAATCTACCCAGGAATTTATGAAAGGTGAAAAGCAACCCAAGGTTTTAGGGCCATTATAGCTTTCAGCTGGTACAGTGCATATCAAACACTAAACAGAATTTATGTGTTTTAATTTTCTAAAAGGTAGATGTGGACTTGGTGCTACAATGCATAACATATAATGCCAGATTTTAAATATGAGGGTCATTTTCATAAAATATTATGCTTATTGTCTGCACCCTTGAATTCACTGAGGTTTTTATTATTAAATTTGTATTTTGTGTAAAAATATTTAACTGCTTAGCTAACTGAGAAATCCCTCGGTTTCCAGATATACCATGATTAGTTTTCCATTCACTTTAGACAATCTACATTTCCCTTTATTTGTATATAAAAGGCATATAGCAGAAGGTAGCGCTGAACCGCTACTTATCAAATCTGAATTTTCAATTCTTACCACCATCATTTTCATTTACAATATTCGACTCTTTCCTCTTTCTTTTTAAATCTGCTGAGTGTGGCAATTTTAATACCAAATGGCCTGGAGAGAGTTATGCTCAGGGTTCCACCATCGAGCATTAGGCCTGCGTCAAGAACACGGCCGGGCTTTCGTCTCCCTCTGGGAGCTCGCTTGCACCGCCTTGACCCATCCAGTCCGCCACCCCCCTCTCTCCCCACAACTACCTAGACACTTGGTAGTAATCCTTGGCGGTGATTATGCTATGGTTGGTCGAGAACCAGTTCTTGACCACCCAGGAACATGCAGCTCTCTCCAGTTAAGAAGTCGTGCCTGCGTGTCTCATGAGCCGGGAGTTCAGGACTGA